GGTGGGTGACTAGTGACAGTGGGGGGTGACTAGTTACAGTGAGGGGGTGACTGGTGACAGTGAAGGGGGGGTGACTGGTGACAGTGAGGTGGGGTGACTGGTGACAGTGAGGGGGGGTGACAGTGAGGGGGTGTGACTAGTGACAGTGAGGGGGGGGGGGGTGATTGGTGCCTACCTGTCTCTCTGCTTCCTCTCCCAGGCTGCAGCTCCTTCCCCTCCTGGCTCTGTGTGAAAGGAGTAAACAGGAAGTGAGGTCACTTCCTGGCCCCGCCTCTCCCATCACACAGAGCCGCATGGGAGAGGAAGCCGGAGACCTGGCAGAGAGCAGGTGAAGCTGCCAGGTCTCATGGGGGGGGGGTGTGTGAATAGCAGAGCGGTAGGTTGTGGGGGCCCCGCGCTGCATCAGGGGCCCCACAACCTATCGATTAAATAGTTTTATTATTTTTTGCCGTTCCAGTTGGAGAGATCTCTGATCTCTCCAGCTGGAACAAGGCTGTGCTGCCGGGCCCCTGACTCCCTCGGGCCCTCGGTCCGTGACCGATATGCCCGAGTGGTCAGTCCGCCCCTGCCTAGGCCCTAGGTTCTGGCAGGTTTTTGCTCAATACAGCTAACTAGATGGCTCCTGTAGTGACAGACCCCAAGTTGCAAGTTGTCAAAACATTATTATAAATGCCCTGGTTCTCAAAGCCCAACAAATTGAACAATGACACAGATGTCATCTCTGCAGCATTCTTTGTAGAAGTGATGTCAGGAACAGATGCAAAGAGTTAGAGCTACCTTCTCCTTACTACAGATTCAGCACTGGCAGCAATAAATTGTGAGAGATACTTTGCAGTAAGGAAAAATGGTAGGGACAGATAACAAATTCTTTATCAAACACACTATTCAGAGTTCAGGAGCAGGGCCGCCATCAGACATTTTGGGACCCCTAACACAGCTCAAGGTCTGGGCCTCCAAGCCTCCAAGCCCACCCTCATGGCCCGCCCACAGGACCTGCCTCCAAATCCACCCACAAGGAAGCAGTGTTTGTAGAGTGGATACAGTGTGTTAGTGCATGCAGTGTGTGTGTAGTGGATGCACTGTGTGTATATATATATATATATATATATATATATCCCTGTCACAGGTGCCTCATCCCAGGGCCCTATTTAGCCTTGTACTGCAGAGAGCCCCAGATGGAATTATTTTCCCCAAGTAGGTTAATCTCATAAGAGCAGACATTAGGCTGTTAGTGTAGGACCTGCCAAAGATGGGGTACATTGATGTTGTGGCAGGCTTATGCAATGTATGATCATATAATGTAACTAAACCCCCATTATTTTTGCCTAGATTAGGTGTTTTTAAAAAAACAAATAAAATCTTTCAACATTGAAGTTGCTGTTTAGTGGATAGGTGAGTGCGCTGGATCTTGTGTATTATATATATATATATATATATATATATACACTGCTCAAAAAAATAAAGGGAACACAAAAATAACATCCTAGATCTGAATTAATTAAATATTATTCTGAAATACTTTGTTCTTTACATAGTTGAATGTGCTGACAACAAAATCACACAAAAATTCAAAAATGGAAATCACATTTTTCAACCCATGGAGGTCTCAAAATTAAAGTGGAAAAACACACTTCAGGCTGATCCAACTTTGATGTAATGTCCTTAAAACAAGTCAAAATGAGGCTCAGTAGTGTGTGTGGCCTCCACGTGCCTGAATGACCTACAACACCTGTGCATGCTCCTGATGAGGTGGCGGAGGGTCTCCTGAGGGATCTCCTCCCAGACCTGGACTAAAGCATCTGCCAAGTCCTGGACAGTCTGTGGT